CCAAAAGCTGACATGGAAAATACAGAGACATACCCACAGAACAGCTTTTGACCATGTGGCAAGAATTCCCATCTATTCTCCAAAGAAAGCAGCCTATCGCTCCAGAATGTTTGCCTGTTGTTTTTCATTCGGGACCTTTATGCATCAGAACCCCGACTACACACTCCCTGTCTAATTCATCTCCACTCATATATTTTACCATTATGGATAGCCTTCCCCCTAAGCTTGTCTACTTCTAGCTGGTGTGACAGATGACAGCAACTCTGAGCCATGTTAGATGGCGTTTGTATGGCTCTGGTGCCAGAAGCATTCTAAGCGCTGGTGTTGCATATTTATTGATCTCCATATTCCCAATAATCTGATGCCCGTCACATTTGACAACATTATGTGGAGAGGTCAGCTAGATGGGGCTAATGAAACTGTTTCCAAGATGGATGTTGTTTTCCACAACATTACCCTTGCAAATAGCTGTCAGTTGGGGTATTTCACTGTTGGACCAGGCATTTAAAAATCTCCTCCTTTTTTTTTTAATAGTTGACATTAACATTAAACAAAACCTGAAGCTATTGAATCTTAGTATTTATATGTGATAGAAAACATGGGTTCCTTGGCATCTTTCCCAATGAAAATCTTATTAACAGACCTGGTGCTTGTGGCAAAGTCCTCAGCAATTGGAGATTGGCTTGGCTGTCTAAAATGCTTGACAGATTAGCCCGAGATGATGTGAAGGACCAAATGGGATATGGTAAAGTCTAGAGGATTAAACCAGTAAATGGAAAGGCTTGCTGCAGTCCAGAGGCATGCAGCACTTTCTGTTTATTTTCCATGTTGCTGTGAGCAGTCAGCACAAAATGCACTGAGGTTCAGGTAAAGGAAAAAAAAAAGATTTACAAATAGGATCCAATTTAATGAAGTGCTACACATGAATTAATGATTCTGGAAATGCATTGGGGGCAGTAATAAATTTATTACAGAGCCTCTACACCTGATCTGGTTCCAGAGCCCTTTGAAAATCCCTCAAAGGACTTTTAAAGAGTCTTTACTGCCTGTCCAAAGTTGGACAGTTATCCAGAAGGATCTTTCTAACGAATGGATTCTGGTTATATTCCAGATGGGTATTTAGCCAAAATTCATTGGGTAGTTGTAAGCACTTATATGCCTGTATGTTTTTTCTTTGTATATCTTGGATAATTTTGAGTTCTTTAAGAAAAAGATAGTAAAATCTACTAAATTTTTAGTTCTAAATGCAATATTTTACAACAGCAGAAATATTTTGTGGATTTCATAGAAGTGTTTCTCTTCCAACTCTACCCTTGAGCATACACATAGAGGGATCTATACTGGAATTAATAGTCCTTCGCTACTGGCTTATCCAGAACTTTCCAACAATGAATTCATTTATCCAGTGCTAGCACTTAGTAACATGAATTCATCACATTGTTTATAGTCAGAAAAACTGAATAACTTCTTGACGTGTTTATTTTTTAGGGTTGAGGGAAGATGGCAGAAAAGAGCTGATTTAACTATTGAGCCTTTTCCTTTTGTGATTTTCAGTACTTTTTTCTGAGACATCCCTATTCAGGTTATGCTTGAATGGAGCGGAGAGACAGAAAAGAGTTGTCAAGTTCAAGAGCAGTGATGTTTAGTGCTAAGCCAATGCTTACATTCTTTTTAGGTGGGAAACTTGTTTCCTCTTCATTTCTCTCCTCCATTCTTATGGAATATATGCCATCAAGAAAGTGTGTTCTCTCTTTGATGAATACTTAAAGATTAATAAGGGAAACAAAGTCAGTCAATGACAGCAGAGTAAGGCAGAGTAATGCAACACACTGCCTACAATTTAAGAGACAAAATTCTGATTAAGGAAAAACATCTTCAAAAAGTAATATGTGAGAGATGGAAGTTAAAGCTACCCTAGGTAGCTTTAATTTAGGCTTGAGCAAATTACACGGATAGTAGTTGCTATAGTAACTAGTAGACAATATGGCATTTATGTTGCTATTGAGATATCTTGTACTTTGCTAAAATAAGGAGGGGCGAGGGAGACTTCCAGAAGCTTGCAAACACTATATGGAGGGAATGATTCTCATAAACATTTTACTTCTTACATTTTAGAGTTTACTTACAATGGAATGCGTGCCTACAATTATACACAGCCCATGGGTTGGTTTGTTATTATTATCAATATTTTTTCCCTACTGAGATGTTCCTTTCAAAAATCTCGCCCCCATAGCACTGCTGAGGGCACCATGGCTGCTAGGCTGGCTGGTTTCCAGGGGGAGACTTCCATGTTTCCCAGGGCATGCTGTGCAGTGTGTATCATTGTGAGCCTGTTGAAATCAAACCCAAAGACCAAGATAGCTAGAGAATGCAGAGCAGGAAAGATATTGTCAGAGGTTGTGATTTTATGCTCTTAGGGAATATTTGGTAATTAGCATACTTTTGAAAAGCATTTGAAATCATTTCTGGAACCATTAGGATGTTTCAAAGAGAACTGCATTGTGGTCAAATGCATTGTTTCACATAAGGCTGCAGTGGAGAGCACAGCAAGCTAGGTGGTTGTCAGTTTTGCCTTGAGGTTTTGGCAGGTAGACCCAGGTAACTCAGGTCCTATTATGGGTTTTGGAGTCTGGCAGCTAATTCTGTAACAGTTTACTCAGTGATTGGTGTGGTTTTCCACAACTGTGGATCAACCAATTCCATATTTGGTTTGGGCAGACTCAGCATGTTCGCAGACCTTTCAAATTCTTAAAGCAAAGAAGATTTATACTAATTTAAAAATGCATGTCAATCAGGACTTTGTACACTTGGTACAGGAAAGGGAAAATCTTAAGAAGACCAAGTATAGAGGCCCTGAATCAGCGATGGCAAACCTTTTAGAAGCTGAGTGCCGAAAACTGCTTATTTATCACAAAGTACCAACATTCCAATTAAGCCTGAATGTTCAGCTGTTAGGGCAAAGCTGGGGTGACTTGGTTCATGTGCTGAAGAGAGGGCTCTGCATGCTTGCTGTGGTGTGCGTGCCACAGATTCATCACCACTTCCCTAAATGATGGGAGTCATGGAAACAAAGTCGGATGCACTGAGACATCTTGACTCTGCACATATTCTGGGTTCACTTTCTTCTTAGAACAACTTCATGTGCAGTTTTCTCTCCACAAAGCAATGTGAAATAGAAGACTAAGCACAGCCTTTGGTGCTAAACCTGAGGTCTAGTGCCAGTCCTGCTACTTCCTGGCATAGTGGCCTAGGAGGGGAAGCAGTAATCCGGCTTATTTATAGAATGTGCCTAATAATAGCCACCTGGTCAGCTGGGACTTGAGTTAGTCAGCTTTCTATCACTATTAAAAAATGAGAGCTAATGAGCCTGTAAAGAGGGAAGGTGTAGTCCGACTAGCAGTTTTCATTAATTGTTTGTCTCTGTTGCATCTTGGCCTGAGGCAAGACAGAACATTATGGTGGAACAAGACTCACTTCATGGCCAAAAAGCAAGAGACAGACAGAGAGACAAAGGTCCTGGGGTCTCACAGTTGCATTTGAGGGCATGTCCCAATAACTAAGGACCTCTTACTAGGCTCTGTCAAAGATTCTGCCACCCCACCAATAACACTAAGCTGTGGTACAAAAAATGAATGAATGAATGAATTGTGCTAAAGACTGACTCAGGACTTTGCACTGAGCTATATCCTCAGCCCTTTTATTTACTTTTTTGGGATAGGGTCTTGCTAAGTTGCACAGGCTGGCAACTGCCTTAGCCTACCAAACAGGTGGGATTATAGGTATGTACCCCTGTGCCCAGAAGAAGCAAGATTTTAACACATGGGCCTTTGAGAGACACTTAACCAAACCAAGAACTCCTGTGTGCCACAAAGTGCGGGGACAATTAGGTCCCAGATCTGGGCCATGAATTCCATCTCTCAAGAGCTGTTCTTTGTCTCTACCCCTGCTTGGGTCAGTCTGGCTGTCAGTGAGCCACAGGAGCTTTTGGCCTTAGTTTTCTCCTATTCAAAAGGGTATCACTAGTCTTGTTAGCTTCAGAGGACCCTATTGTTTCTCATGTTCAGTGACTATATAGCTGACCATTTGCCATTTTCTGTATTTTTCCCCTAAAAATGTGTGTAAAGACCTCTCCTGTCTTCATGATCAAACACAAATTCCTTTGTTCCTGAACTTAAAAAAGCTGCTCAAATGAAAGGTTGATTTGAACAAACATCATGTGTCTACTCCAGGTATGGATTCTGGAACTGGAAGGAACAGTAATCATCAGTGTGAGTACTTTGCCTTCAGGCTGAAAATGGACCTTTTTTTGTCTTTTTTTTTTTTAATCGGTACTGGGGATCAAACTCATGACCACACACTTGCAAGGCAGGCACTTATGCCGTTGAGCTAAATCCCCAGCCCCTGAAAATGGATCTTAATTGCTACTTATTAATGAAGCAACTGAATTTTCCCCCAGAATCCAAGTAACCCTACCTCTTGTGACCTTCAGTAATTTGGGGACATCTATTTCCATGCATTTATACTCCAAGAGAATTTGAAGAGTAGGGGAAGTTCTAAGGGAAAATGTATAAAGAGTGAATGAGGCCAGTGAATCTTTGCTTGATTGCTGTCTAAACAAACAGTATGTCACCAAGAAACAGATGTTGGGCCAGGAACCTTCAGGAGCTGGGGAGGCAGGAGGAGAAGGTTCCCAGTGCTGGAAAGCATCCATCTCCCAAGCCTGCAGCACCTCACTGAGTGGAATTCGTCAGACTGTGGAGGCAGTCGAGTAAGAATCGGATTTTTGTCTAGCTCCAGAAATTCTTTGGAATAATATGTCACAATGGTTATCTCATCTGTTGAAATTGGCTGGAAAATATCAGAATTTCCCTGGATATTTATGAGATTGCCATGTACCAACAGGTCTGTACATGTGAATGTGACCACACTGATGCCCAGAGAATGTATAGGCAGCCAAGTACATTTATTTTTACAGAGGGTAATTATTACAGTCTCTCCTTGCAGAAATGAGCCTTTTGTTTTATGTTTTCAGTGAGAACTTGTGAAATATTAAGATATTTTACTGCCTTAATGTTCTGAATTGTTTGCCTCTCCATATTGCAATCTAAAACTCATTAACAGTTGAACAATTTAATCAGAATGAATCAAGTTGTGAAATGGATACACAGGCAGTTCACACAGTCATAAAGCATGGCTGAAACTTTTCTGAACAGCTTAATAAAACTTAGAAGGCAGCTAGAAATAAATGATTATCCTGGACAGTATCAGGGTAAACAGAACCTGAAGCCATGAACTTGGTAATTGTTCTCTCTCACTCAGCACTTTTGCCATGGCTTGGTCTTAATTCACGAGATGGACCCATGGTGACAGGATTTAAATTGGCAGTCCTCCTGTAAGATTTTTCTCCTAATAGCGGGAATGATCAGCAAAGTAAAATGTATGAAGCAAAGTGAAAGTGGGCACATTAGGCCTGACCTCAATTCTGGGCATATTCCTTAGTTAAAAATATACCCCCATTTTGGAAGAAGGTTTTAATTGTAAGTCTGATCTTTTCATTGTATTTTTTTTTAATTTAAAATGAAAAAGAGAAAAAAAGCAGAACAAAACAAAACAGTGTAAGAGTACAAGTAATTCAGAACTACAAAAAAACAGTAAGCTATCACCAGTTAATAGATTACACGCTATCATTTTAGAAACGGTGTTTCAGGTCACAGGATCAAAGCATACAAAGTGAACATTCAAACAGTGAGACTGCAAATAGTTGTGTTCAGTAATCCAATAAAAAATGTTAATATGGTCTTCTTTTAACACACCTAAACACCCTTGCTGTTGTATCCTTTAGGGCACTTTTTTTCCCTCTGTTTATTACAACAAAACTTACACATTTTGGGTTTTATTGCTCCCTTAGATCTTATTACTTTTTTTGTAAGAGAATAAAATCAAGCATGATAAAACAAAGCTGTCAGTCAAAACCAAAGATAGACATAGCACATGATGTAAAAACAGAGTACAAGGTTATCAACAATGGTTACCATAATGCTTCTTGCTTCCTTAAGAAGAATTGTCTATCTCATTAGGTATTATAAAGTTGAACAAAACAGTAGAGAACAAGACCAATAAAACCTAAACATTGTAAATCTTACAGAACCTCAAAAGAGGATAATAGTCAAACCAGAATGGGCATCATAGTGAATCTTATTGCCTTCAAAGTAGTTGCCTATATTCTGATACTTGATACTTTCATACAGAGCATTCATTGTATTTTAAAAATATTATTTATCCCAGAATTTTCCTGCAGATGCTTGTTAATTATGTTTCATAAAAGTGAGTTTTTGTTTCATTTGTACACACATCAAATACAGCGGTACCTTCATTCACAAATGCTTTTGTTTTCAAACAGTTTGGTTCACAAGCAAAAGTATTTGGCAAAATTTTGTCTTTATCTGCAAGCCCTACAAACATCTTTAAAAGATGTAGCCATCTTTCCCTCACAAACAAAGCCATCTTTTCCAAAATTGTGAAACAATTTTAAATTCATAAACTGAAATACCACTGTACTCCAAAATGTGTGACAGAGCCAGTGTCCTCATGCATCTGAATTCACCATTCCTACTTTGCACAGAATATTGCCTCAGGCTGTCTCTGTGTTAACATAGAAAGTCCCCTGTCCTTGGAGTCCCTCGATTCTCAGGCAAAGCAGATTGGTTTCCTGAGATAAAGTCCCCTATCCCACGTATTTCCTGGCCTTACTGCCTAAAATTATTCTCCCTCCTAACACAGAAGCTTTGCTTGCAACCTCTTACATAGTCGATTGTGCAGGATTATTATGTATTTTTGCTCATTGTTCCATGCCTTCCCAGCACCTTTTTCTGAGAATGAATTGAAGCATCTACTCAGTCCTCCAACACAGGTCTGGGCATTTGAGGTTTCTCCATCTCCGTGGCCAGGGAGAACTTGTAAAACAACAATGTGGTCTACAGTCATAATATAAACTCAAATGGTGCTGCCTAGACCATGCATGTTTGTTGTTTTTATAATTTTCACCATTCCTACTTTGCATAGAATTTGGTGGCTCCAGAGTAGAAAATTCCAATAGTCTTGTTGCTTTGCTTCCTCTTTTATTATTAACCATTTTCTTTTAGGAATAGGTTTATTCACACAGACACAGGCTTCTCAACATCCTTTCTTACTTTCTGTGAAATGTCCCATAGCCTGAATTTTTCTATTTGTTTCTAGTTGGTGGCACAAATTATCCTTTTATTCTGTACGATAAGCCAGTGTTTTAATCTGGTGACTATTTTACATTTAAGACTTGTAGGATAAGAGGACGTTGGAGAGGTGGCCGTGTACTGGTTGCCATATTTCATGAAGTATAGAGATGTCTTGTTTCTGTTTTTATTGATTGATCAGGGTTTGGGTCAAAATCCTCACTTCATATTTTACTTTAGTGTGGTAGAATATGCATACATATGTGTAAGTGTGCATGCTAAATACATCAATAAGTGTTTCAAATCTACCATTATCATGTTATTTACATTAGCATAAAGTTGACTTTTTAAACCATAGTAAAGTGTATAGTTGGTGGACTCACGTTGATGTGCAACCACCACCACCATTCATTTTTACGTCTTTTCATCATCTCTGTGGTTTGCATGTGTTTCCTCCAAAATGTAAGTAGCACCAATGTGGCTTCACCCACGGTGAGGCTCACTTGCTCTTCCACTCTCTGCCCTGTGGGATGCTCATTACCAGTGGATTCATCTCAGTGCTCCTTCCTCCACTCATGAGGATGGAACTAAAGGGTGCTGTCTTGGAGGAAGAGAGTGGTCTTCACCAGATGTTGAACCTCCATTGTCTTGATTTTTTTATTCTTCAGCCTTTAGAAATATGAGAGAATAAATTACTGTTTTTTTTTTTTTTTTTGAGAAGGTTGTTGTATAGTTCAGGTTGCCCTTGAATTTGTGGCATTCCTCCTGCCTCAGCCTCCCAAGTGCTGGGATTACAGGTGTGCACCACCAAGGCTAGCCTAAATTACAGTTCATTACAAATTACTCATGTGGCTCTTTTGTTACAGTAGCACACAGAAAGACTGTACCCACTGAAACTTAGTACCCCTGAACTGTAACTCCCCATTCTCCCATATTCCTAGGTCCTGTAGACCACATTTGACTTTCCTGTTTTCTTTTTTTTACATTTTACTTTATAACTTTTAAGGATTTGACTACTCCAAGTACAGTGGACACTTGACTTATAAACTGAATTCATTTGTGAGGGCTGGTTGTAGCTCAAATTGGTTGTAAGTCAAGACTATTTTTCCCGTAAGAAATAATGGAAATACCCATACTGTGTTCTGAAACTCCCAAATCAACCCTTAACTAATTTTTCATAATTAAAAAGGCTGTATATATGTAATTTACCAGAAACATCAAGAATTTTCCTAGTGTATTCACCAAAAAGTTTAGAAATGTGCCTAGTTTACCAGAAACAACAGTTTCATACTATACTCACCTTCTGAGTTGGCATTTCGGCCTGCAGGAAGAGGGCAGTTACCGTTTGGAAGGAGAGTCCCCTTCTATAAGAACTTCAGGAATCTGGCTCTCTGTGTCCCTTCTCTCCTTGGGAGGGGCTGAGCCAAGTAGGAACTTCTTCTGGCTCACTGGGTCTCAACTTTTTCAGAACTAAAAACTAGTCTAAGGTTGTCTGTTTCTGTCTTTTTTGTAGCGTTGTTCTATAATATGGTTTTCTCTATGAATGTCTGTAGCTCTGTCCATTTTGTTTTAGGACTTCCTTTATTTCAGAAGAAAAACTTCGCTGTGCTGATTGTTGATACCTCCCTATTCTTCAGAAGGATGTTCAGCTGCCATTCTCTCTGTTGCTGGTGCTCCGGGAATTGCTGAAGTTCCTCTGTAGACACTTGCTCTGAGTGTTCCTACACCAGATCCTCAAGATCACCACTGTTTACCTGCAAGCCTATAGGCTCAACTCTAGTGGCAGTGTCATCAGTCACAGGGTCAACTGAAGGCTCAGGCGCCCTTACACAACTTTCAAAGTCTCTCTTGTATAATCTTAGGTCACACATTCTTCCAGGCAGATTTAGTGTCCTGAGAGAGATATTGGCCCTGAATTTCTCAGTTAACTCTACATGGGAAACAATGTTGTAATGCTCCTTCCAGAACTCTTCCAGAGTTAAATCTGTATCTGAGACCATATGGAAGCATTTTAGGGACACTTTCTTGGTGTATAGTTTCCTTCTCCTTTTCCTTCTTTCTCCTCCTCCCCCTTCTCTTCCTTCTCCTCCTCCTCCTCTTCCTTCTCCTTCTCCTTTTTTGTGTGTATATAGCTTCTTAAAGTTAGCTGTAACCTGCTGGTCCATATGCTGCAGTAAGGAGTTGCATTAGGTAGGAGGAACTTGACTGAGAGGCACGGGAATATTTCAGCCACGTTTTTCCAAATCTCATGGGTGAGTAGGAGCACTATCCATGGTGAGAGGAACCTTGAGTGGTAAACCTTTGTCCTCTAGATATTTCTTAACAGTAGGACAGAGAGCCTCCCTGATCCTCCAGAAAATGTGCTCTTGTTATCTAGGCTTTTACATTAGATCTCCACAGGAACCCTAGCCTATTCTTCACAATTTTATATTTTCTGAACACTGTAGGGTTTCAGAGTGATAAATCAAGTGAGGCTTTATCTTGAGGTCACCACTCACATTAGCACATAGCAATAAGTTTAACCTATCTTTCATAAGCTTGTGTCCTGGCATTTTTTTTTCCCTTGGGTAATATATGTTTTTCTGGGTATTTTCTTCCAGAAAAGGCTAGTTTCATCATAGTTGAAGACTTGAGGAGAGCAAAAGCCATTTTTCCACAGCATTGTTTCAAAGTGGTGTACGTAACTTAGTAGCCCTTCTTAGCATGGGCTACTTCACCATGCCTAGTTACACTATAAACCCCAGTTCTCGCTATAAAATTGTGAAACCACCCCTTCCTGGCACAAAATATTTTACCATTATCACTCGTTGATGGATTATCCTTTACAAGATCGACATTTATATCCCTAGCTTTTCCACAGGCTACAACCTACCATCTACTTTTTATTTATCCATACTACTAATAATTTTTCTACCTCATATAACACTTTTGATCACAACTTACTAATTTGAGTAACATCTTTAGCAGCACTAGCTTCCCTATACAGATGTTTTCTCTGTAAGATTTTTGAGATGGTGGATTTCAACATGCTGTACATATTAGCAACATTGGCCACATGAATGCCATTCTCATATTTCTTCATAATTTTCTTCTTCTCTTTGATTATGATTCCTTTCTTTACTTTCCCTTCCCTCCTAAGCTTCCTTTAGAGCTTTTTAGGGGCCATTTTGATAGCAGTAATCATAGTGATTACATAAAGTCCTGACTGAAATCCCCTCCACAAAGGTGCATCTGGGCTCAGACTGATGCTTACATTCACTCTTCTGGCATTGCGAGGGTTTATAACAACACAAGCAGCTGGCATTCAGGTTGTAACTCAAGACTGTAGTCATAAGTTAAACCTAAAATTCCAGTCATAATCCAAGTTGCTCCTATGTGAGGCTGGTTGTAACTTGAGGGGCCACTATACTTCATATGGATGAGATCATACAGAATTTATTCTTTTCTGACTTTTTCATATAACATAATGTTTTCAAGTTTTATCCATGTTGCTGTTTAAAATAGGACTTACTCCTGAATAATAGTACATGCTACATCTTGTTGATCTGTTGATGGATGTATGGGTAGCATCTTCCTTTTGGCTACTGTGAATGATGTTGCTATCAACATGGATGCTTTTATCATTCATTGGTGATGTTGGTCTAGATCCACTGTTTCATTATGAGTCATAGAGATCTGTTTTCAGAATAATGAGTAGATATATTTATGTTCTGCAAATGTGGCCCAGTAGTTTTTTGTTTTTTGTTTTTTGCTTTGTTGTTTTTGTTTTCTGAGACATGGCTTCACTGTGTGGTTCACATTGGTCTTCAACTCACTATGTAGCTCAGGCTACAAACTCATAGTGATCTTCCTGCTTCATTGTCCGGAACACTGGGGCTACAGGCTTGCACCACTTTGCTTGACTTTTAGCTGACTTTTTTTTGTAGCTCTTCATGTCATTTACTAAGTTCTTTGACACAACTCTAGCAGCCTTTTATCAGTCCTTGGTTTTCTGGCACTGAAAGATATTCTAGATTAATCTCATATATTTTCTACCCATCTTTGAAATCATCTAGCTTTCCAAAGAGGCTTGGTTTGTTTGGGACAAAGTACTTAAAGACTACAATCTGGGCATGTGGTGTGCTCATTACCAGTGGACCATCATTTTTGTAGGTCTTGCAGTAAATATAGCCAAAGTTCATTATTTTCTAAAAGAGAAATAATCACAAAGTCAGACTGATACTTTACACTCAAATTTAGAATCACTGTTTAGTTATTTGATTCTGCATGGTATCTGTTATAATTTTATTTACTTATTTATTTAGAGACACGGTCCCACTGAGTAGTTCACACTGGCCTCGAACTCCTGGTGATTCTTTTGACTCAGCCCACTGTGCTGTCTCACCTGACTTTCTCAATTTTAGTAGATGAAAATCTCAATTCTAGCAGATTAGCACAATTGTTTCTTTTATTCTAGACCATCATTTGTGGCTTCAAAGTTAACAGCAGCTATGTTTATGTGATAAATAAGCTATTGAACACAGTTAAAGTTTTTGGCTGTTCCTTTTGTCCTGATGTTATCTCCTGTCAGGGGGTATGCAATTTTAAAACTCTGTTGTCAGTTGAAGTAATAATAAATTTTTTTGTGTGTTTGTGCCATCAATTTGATACATAGGTATGTTCATTTGCTTCAGAGTGTTTTCAGGCTTTTTTCAACCATGAAAAAAAGGTTTGTAATTCTGTACTTAAAAACAAGACAAAAAACTTTATATATATAACAGGGAACATCTACAGAAGTCCCATTTCCATCTTTTCTCCTCTCTAAATTTATTTCTTTTTTTTTTCCTAAATGTAAACATTCTCATTAGTTTTTGGTTTATCTTTTCATTATTTCCTCTTGGAAACAGAACACACACATACCATCTTTTTTAGACAAAAGATAGCATACTTTTTGGCATACCTGTGCAAAATGCCTGTGCCGGGCATTTTGGTTATTTATACCACTTGGCTATTATAGTTCAGTAAATATTGTGATTATATGGCTTTGCATTTTTGTTAATGTATCTTTGTGATAGAGTTTTTAAAATGGGATTGCTAGGTTAAGGGGTTCACAGGTAGATTTGTCAGATGGTCCCAATTTCCCAATTCCTTGTGCCATTTGTACCTGCCACAGAACCATCATCAGTAGAGAGCACTGTGGAACACCTCAGTCACTGGGATGGTCCAGCTGCAATCATTGGTCTTTAGATCCCCATATCATGTGGACTATACAGATTTGGACCTCTTACCTCAGTGTGCTTTGAGTTTTGACTGCTTAGAAGATTTGGGGATTTTTTTCCCCTCTGCTCCCTGAACCTCATCAGGTGACATTAGTTCTTAAGAGCTTCCTGAGATGGGGATTTTCCAGCCACACTTTGTTAGGGCAGGCAGTGTTCTGGGGCTTCTCTCTACTGTTGTTTCAGTGGGGGATTCTTCCTTGGTGAGGGCCGACTCCTTTCTCATCATTGCATTCTGCCCTAGGCCAGAGCTATGAGATTATGTATGGACCCAGTGCCCTTTTGGGTGCCACACCATCCCCTTTTCTGTTTGCCATTCTGATTTTGAGCACACTCTTCAACCCTGGTACTTGGTGATTTCACTTTGCAATCTGTCTATTGGGGGTTACATTATACTCAGCATTTTATGTATAATAAGTAGGAAGGAGCATGTTCTTCAGAGTTTTAGATCTTCTTGTTGCTGCAAGAAGCATGATCCAAATTTATAATAGTTATGCCAAAAGGGGAAAACAGAATGGGAATTGGGAGTGATTATTTGCTATGCAAGTTTCTCTTGCACTTGCCAGGCAGGCACTTGTGTTGCTGAGCTACCCCCCCCCCCCCGCCAGCCTGCAAGTTTCTTTTAAAGGACAACTTCGCTTAGCGTACTGAAATCAAATTTTATCTTTAACCAAAACCGAATTTGTAAGCACTGCCTGTTTGGGTGAAGGGGGCTGTCTCTGTCTCGGTTGTGAGGAGTCAGGGCTGTGAGTATATACATTTCTGCATTGAAGGCTCCAGTAGAGAAAAGTCAATCACTAAATCCTTTTGGCCTCATTTCAAAGTTCAAACACCAAACACACCACAAAACCAACTGTGGGAGACAGGCCTCTGGGAGAAATACATCATGAAGAGAAAGGAAACTGGGATTATCCCTAATGGGATAATTAGGAAAATTCTTTTGTCAATACTGTTTAATTTCCTTTCATATTCCTAGTTGCCCTATTAACAATGTAATCAGTGCCTTCTGATAATTTCTAATACGACCTAGAGCTGACCTTTCCCCTTTCAAAGCACAGTGGGCCTTTGGTTTTTTTTTTTTTTTTCCTAAAACCCCAGATATTTCTAAACACCAGGCTCTGTTGGGGTTAGTTTTGTGCCAGAAATCCCTTTAGACTGGCATCAGCCCAGATGGTGGAGTATAGTATATTAATGTTGAGGTTTGCTAGAGCACAGGATGAACTTGGCTGCTAACAGGCCTGGCGGGCCACCATTGAGCTTAGAAATAAAGAACAGGTACTGGTGTTGCTTCTTGTTGCTGATTTTCCCTTAATATCTCCCAGTATTTATCCTATCAGGTGTGAAGCTTTAAAAGCAAGATTTTGAAGAAGCATGTTGGAAATTATTCCTAGCCCAGAAAACTCTGAATTTGTCTTTCTTCCCCTGATTTATCCCAGTTTTTGAAACATTCTAAACTAGCAGGCAAAAATAGAAATTCAGTTTTCTAAACAGAGACCTGTCAGAGTACTACCCTGCTTCAGACTTTTGGGTAAGTGCCGGAAGAGCCAAGAGTAATTTCCCAGCCTGGTGCTGAGGTTGCTTCCTTCCCTCTCAAGTTTAAGCTCAGCCAGGGCAACTTAGTGACTTAGTGAGACCCTGTCTCAAAAAGGAAGGAAAAAAAAGGAAAAGAAAAGAAAAGAAAGCTCATGGGTGCTGGGGATGTAGCTCAGTGTGAACGTCCTGCATTCAGTCCCCAGTAGTGAGAAAGGAAAAAAGAAAAAGGAAGGGAAAGATTTGTCCCTTCTACCTGCCTGTTGAGCTGTGACATTGTCTCTTGTCTTCTCTTGTCCTCACACTTGGAATCACGACATCAGCTGCCCAGGATTTTGGACTCAGAGTGAAACTAAACTATATCCAGGATTTCTTGGGTTTCTAGCTTGCAGATGGTAGTTTGTGGGACTTTTTGGTCTCCATAAGCCAAAGCTATAAGTGAGTTCCTTTCTTCTAAACATTGTATTGGCTCAGTTGCCCTGGGTAAATCTGGTACACCTGCTTTGCTTAGGAGCAGGCCTGCCTATTGCTTAGGAGCCCCTGCCCTGGCCCCCAGAGCACGTCTTCCACGTCTGCCTCTGAGCACTTGCTGTGTTGAGTTGTAAACACTCTTCAATTTCTGGTTGATGTCCATGTTTGAGGAGGTACCTATCCTGGTTAGAGGGCATCAATGGCAAAAAATAAAAGACAAAAGAAAAGAATACAAGAATACATTCAGGCAGTGTTTTCAGTTAAGTTACCTTTTGCCTGGTAGAAGTTGGAGCAAAGGATCTCAGCCCACCTCTTCCTGGCTGGTTGTGTTGAGGAAACAGTAGACTTTACTTTGGTATTAGCAGTCCATTGCCCTTATTCTGGTCTGCTGTTCTGGTTCCGAGGCTAAAAGTATCAGAGGGCAGAGGCTGGAATCTCTCAATGCTCCATGAGGATAACTGTACCTAACAGAGACGCTGAGTGAGTTGATGAGTGGATCATTATGAGAATGTAAAGGGATTTGAGAAACTCCATTACTATTAGAGAAAAAAATAAATAACCTGTGGGAACTCAGGAAACAGACAGCAGGATCTATATGAATGTGACGAAATACAGGATCACTCCGGTAAAGCTCAGCTTTGTCTGCAAAAGAGACAATGGTAGGATGAATGAAAGAGGTATGAAGATAAGAGTCCTGGGCTTTGCTACATTGTGAGCTTTGGTATAGTTGCGCATCTATCTGTCTATTCATTCATTTATATGTCCATTCAACCATTTATCTGTCTACCCAATCATCCCTCCATCATGCCATTAACTCACTAAGTCTCGTTAGCCATTCAAACTTCCATCTATTTATCCATACATCCTTACCAAATATTCACAATACACTAGGAATTAGAAGCCCAAATGTGTCTTACCTCCATGGAATTTGATGTATACTGGGTAGAATGTCATACAGACAATTACTGTGTAATAAGATAATGACTTCAGAGGTGTACCATCCACCTTGCAGTGAGTGAAAGTACTTTAAGTTTACGTGGAGTCAGAAAAAGATTCCCAGAGAAGTGTTTGGATCCAGACCCTATCAAGAAGGGGATGCTCAGTGGCTTTGGTCTCAAATTTCCCCTCACCTTTGCAAAGTAGTAACGGCACCAGATATATTCAATAGAAATATCTGTCATTTCCTAACGGCAGGTACAGATTTCATATTGGGCTACTGGGTGGGCTTGGGGCTCCCCATTTTTGAGAGGCCCCTAGATGCTATCCAAGAACTGGCCATTGCTCAGTGGTAGGTGAGGGACCCCCCTCTGTTACTTGGGACAAAGCTAGAAGTGGGCTTTCTAGGCTGTTCAGGGCTTTGCGCCCATTGTCTGTAGTGTGACAGGAACCCCATGAATTTTAATAGGCTCCATTCAGAGTGATTAAAACCTTAATGAAATTTAATTATCTTGATGTTAAGCGTTTTGTGTTAAGTTATTGCATTCTGACCACTCATTGTTCCACACAAGCGCAGGGCTGCTAACCCTACCTCTACCTTAATGGAAAGGAAAGTTGAATATATTTAAATGAAATTTCCCCAAAGTAATTGCCTTCAATGAAACACCAAGTAAGCGTCAGGACTGAATTTATAAATTGGGCTGGCTGCAGATGAGAGCTACCATATTTGGCATGGTTCTCATTAATCCAGGGTCTCTAGAAAGAGCCCTGTGAAAAGTTCAACTGTAAGTGACAGGTGTTTATGGTTTGCAATTGCATTAAACAGCCTCTTAAATGCAGGTTAAAGGCTTCCGTGAAATATGGAATATACCTTAAAACATGGCCAAAATTTTTGCCATTTTGGACTTTGCATTACTTACCTACAGAATTAGTAGAGCTTTCAGTTAATCAGCTGTCAGTGTAAATTGCAGTGAGTGAAATGCTGATAAATACCGGTAAGCACAGTTTGCTTTGGCCTGTTGCTCCCCCCCCCCCATCCTTTTTCTTCCCCTGGGCCTTCTGAAGGCCTTCAGCTGATGGAGAGCTTTTAATTTCACATTTTGGCCCCCACCGCAGGTGATAAACAAAGGTTTCCCTGCTGCTCTGGCTGGGGTCAGTTATCCCGCCTCCAGTCAATCCCACTCCCCGTAATTACACACAAAAGGTGCCTGAGATCCGCAGCTAATTTGCGGCCTCTGTTTAGCAGAATTTAATAGCAGGTATTACCGCTGCCGCGGTAATTAAGGACCTTTGTCAATAAGACGGAATAGATGGCCACACTTGGTTGTAATCAGTGGGCTCTCGAGAGCCAGAGGAGTGAAAAAGGAGAGAAGCAATCCATTTTGTGAATAACACCGCCCTCCTCGGCCTCCCTCCCTCCCAGATCGGGCGCTGGAATAATAATTCCCCAGGCAATGAAAGTACAGGAATAAAAGTACTTACCCTCCAGCCGGTGATTTTTTTTTGACTTTTTATTTACTCTACTGAGCTTTCTTATTTGCTCCAGGCTGCATTTGATGAAGTATTGTTTAAACAGCACAGAGCAAAATGGATGGAGGGAGGTGGGGAGAGGAGGAGGAATTTTAACCAGGTGGTGAGGGGGCGCCTCCTTTAAGGTGGACGGCTGCTCGTTGGGTTTATCAATTATTTCTGTCGGATGAAAAAAAAAAAAAAAAAAAGACAAAACCAAGTGGCTTCCTGAAAAGGAGGAGGGTGTCATTTTGTGCCTTCTCTGAACACAGTCATTCAGCTCTAAATGGGTCGCCTGTAACAAGCGAGAAGTGAACTTGGGGGAGCGCTGTCACCTCCCGCCCTCCCTAATGTACCTTTCATTGGCCCCGGGAGGGGGCGGCCTGGGAGGGGAGGGGAGGGGGCAGGGCTGGCGGCCGCAATTCAAAGACACCGTCAAGGTGTGTGCCCCTCAGGATAATTGGCGAGGAAGCTGCCTTGCTCGCCGATTCCCGGCCTTTTTACTGGTTTTAACAAGCATGATGCTTTTAATAGTGCTTTGAGTACCATCTCTTTATACGCCTCTCCCTTTTTAAAGCAGCTTTAACTATACTCTTTCTGTCGCTAATGTCTGAAAAACTTCTACCTTTAATCATTGCCGGATGAGGCAGCAAACAAGCGGCCCTTTCCTTTTGCAATTACGTGCTGGGCAGTCGCTGCTGGGAAAGGGAGGAGGCGGGTGTTAGTGAGCAGGAAGGGTTTGGGGAGCTGCAAGAGCTCGGGCTTGCCGATCCGGGTCCGCTGCCAGGCCCAGGCCTGGGGACATCTCGGGGTTAGGCTCTTGCTAGGGCGGGGCATCAGATTTAAAAGTCCAAGTCTACACGGTGGAAACCAACTGGACCAGTATTAACAAAGCACCTTTTTCCTATTTGGTTCCTAGAAAAAAGGCTGGATTAGGTTATTGGCTATTCCAGGGCCTAAGCCCTTCCCTCTTGCCCAACATGCATTGCTTCATTCCCAGTTAAGAGTCAGCCCCAAGCTGGACTGAGGGCTGTGGGCTCCTTGTGTCTTATCTCTGGGATTTCACACCCACCTTTGGGCTGGACAGGGAGTCAGGGTGGGCTGGCTTCAAGAGCAGCTTAGAAAACAAGGCTGCATTCCTTGAGGACCAGCATGCATACAGCTTTTGGGCCCTTCATAGGGTGGCAGGGGCAAAGTTTGGGGTTCCTGTGGGTGCTCCTGACTCAACTGAGACTCACAGCCATAGGAGTGGTGAAAGTCAGTGTGTGGTCCCATTTCCTCTTCTGTCCCATTTTTCCCTGGAAATGGGCTTTCTTTCTAGCAGTATTTGTTAAACCAAAGTTCAGCAGATGTTCCAGAGGTGCAGTTCTTCTCGAGGACAGCTAAGGAAGAGGAGAAGGGTTTCTCTGGTGCTCCTCACAATTCCTTCTCTAAAGTGTCAGACAGAAAAGCATCCCTTCCAGGTTCCTTGGGGTACAGATTCCAGCCCTAGGGCTGACTAGTTTGGCCTGTTAAACTTTATGTTTTAATCTAAAGAGCAGGTAAGAGCTGCCTCCTCTCCCCATCTTTTCAGTAAGGATCGAGAGCGTCCTGGAGTCCATGCTGGTAGCTAAGACCTTGAGGCAGCCTTTCCAATTTTTTCTCTAGAATCTAAAGATCCACTGGATTCCTCTTATCTGGAGACTGAGCTTGAGGCTGCAGTCTGGTACTGGGATCAGGACTGCAGACCATACTGTGGATTTCTCCGGATTGTGGCTTGAGAGCGGGTCAGTATGCTTATTCCACCAAACCAAGCACTTGACTGACTGCTTGGGAAAGCTTTGCTTTGCACAAACCACAGGAAAGGAGTGAGTGCAGCAGTAGCTGGGTGGAGCAGGAGGAAACACCTTCCCTGGCTCAGGGTACCAGGAAGAGGTGTTGCGGTCTACTGATCACCAGGTCCCCATCCTTGCAACCTGTGCCTAGTGTTGTCATTTCTGTAACTAGCGTCTCTCCAGATGTGACTTTATGATCTTGAGAAGGTGGGTTTAACCTAGATTTTCCAGCTGAGCCCCTATTGCAGCCTCAAGTGTTTTTCTCCAGAAGACGTGAGTGGAGGGAGACTTGACAGAGACCAGAGTGGAGAAGACCCCGAGAAGATGAGGCAGATGTAAAGGTGATATGGCTTCTGAGGCCTGGAAAAGACAGCAATGGATTTTCTCAGGCCTCCAGGGATGGCGCAACCCTGCTGACACTTTGATCTAGGCCAGTGATGGTGAACCTTTTAGAGGTTTCAGTGATACAAAGCGTCTGCCATGGCACATGTGCCATAGGATTGCTACCACTTACCTTAGCCCCTGTGATACTGATTTAATCTTGGGGCCTCCAGAACTGTACAAGGGTAGATGTCTCTTATTTAAAGCACCCATTTGGGAAGACTTGTCACAGCAGCCATGGGGTATAAGTGCAAAAGCCCTAAAGAGGGTCTGACTCCATAAATGAGGCAAGCTTGAGGTTGAAACAGTTCTGTGGCCGGCTTCCAGACCTGGAAGGTCACATGGGCTGAGCTCCCAGTATGCAGCAGTGCGTACTGATACCTGTGGAGTTTTGTGTAATGTCACTGAGTTTTTCTTGGGGAGTGCTGCACTCCAGCCTTCAGGGGCTGTTAGGAACAGGTGGGCTGGAGTGGGGGGTATCACAGTGACTAGAGCTTGGAAGCAGGGATATGACATGGGCTTTGCACAAGGTAGGACTGAAGCCATGGGCTTTGGGGGTTAAGTCCCTGTGGCTGGCACATCTGGCGACTCGACCCCTATGAACTTAAAGAACATATTAGCAAACCACAACAAAAATATCACACAACCTCTCAGAAGATAATTTTGAATGCAGAAATGAATATATTTTCTTATAGAAATTTTCTCAAAAGCCTGTTTAGTAGTATTTTTCTATATCTTATTTTTTTACACAATAGCCGCGGCATTGTAGAATCAGTGTTTTTTGGTTAGGGGTGGATCATTTCCACAGGGTCAGTTGTAAGCTCTCTTTACGGATAGTCAGTCTAATTCAGTGAAGTTTAGGGTTTGAAAATAGAATGTATTTCTTGATTGATTTTTTTTGTTAATATGTATTGGGTGCTCAATTTGTATTAGGACAATGAAACGAGAGACACTGGCTTAGAGGAGGTGAGAAGCTTGCTCTGGTGATGATGACCCAGAGTTGGACACACAGTCACCTGTTTTCAGAGTTTTGCTTTTCATTACACATTTTTGGGAGGCAAGGGAGAAATTGCCTCTGGCACCAGTGTGTTTTGGGGAGGCCTATTGTGCCTCATAAAGATGGGTCTACCCCAATGACGATGACCCAGCCCAGCCTTCTCCCCTTGGCACGTGGATTCTCAGGAGTGAAACCTAATACCTCTGAGAATCAAAGAGGCCTCGGGAGTATCTGTGCTAAGTGGAATCTAGAAAGGCAGCTTTGTCATGGGCAAAAGTCAAGTATGGCAAACAGGATTCATGGACAGCTGAGGCAGGAAAGCACATCTTTTCCAAAAGTGACCATCAAATGTAATTTCAGTTTGCACTGTGATCGCAAAATCCATAGGAAACCCAAGTTTTTCCTTCCATAGTGGAGAGGTTCTGTCTATCTGGAGGGAGCCTACCACAGCTGGGCCATACCACACTCACCCCGGCCTCTCCCACGGTGCCACTGCTGCACAGCTGGCTTCCGATCTGGGTGAATTGTTACTCTCCTCCAAGTCAGGGTCCAGTGTGGAGATCAGAGCACTTGACCCTGCAAGTGTTATTTTTGTTCTGCATTCTCAGAATGCTGGATGAGTCATAGCTGTGTTTGAACTGCAGATGCTAAGCAAGTCTGTGTGAGGAGACAGAGTGGAAGCATCAGGGCAGATGATGGGGTGGAACAGCAGGGACACTGTCCATCAGTGAGCCAGATAAGTAGCTGCAGGCTTTGTGATCCAGAGCAAGTGTCTTAACTGCTCTGTGCTACACATTGGAAAATGTGTGTCCACATTGGAAAATGAGGAAAATAATTTATTTTGTGAAGGACTATTGAGAAGATTACCTAGCATAACACTTGTATGTGCCTGGTACTAAATATCTATGATCCCAGCTACTCAGGAGGCCAAAGCAGAAGGACTGCAAGTCTGAGACCAGCCTAGGCAACTTGGTGAGATCCAGTGTTAAAATGAATTTTATAAAATAAAATTTAAAGGGCAGAGGATGTAGCTTAGTAGCACAGCACTTGCCTAACAACAACAAAAAGCAAACTTGTCTGACACCCAAAGTGGCGCCTGGCATAGATAATCGCATTCCACAAGGGTTACTGCTCTTAGCATCTTTGTGGAAAGAGCAGGGCTCTAGGAGTTGACGCACCGGGGAAAAGCCCTGTTTTTGCTGCTCAGGAAGGCCTTCTCCGAGCCTGGATTCTCTCTGTGAGCTTCCTCCGTGTTTATCCTGAGGGATGATTTAGAAAATGACTTTGAAGAGAGAACCTGATCCATGTAACTTCTAAACTGAATAGCTTCCTTCCTTCTGTCTATGACTTGAGGTACTTCAGGAGTTTTGTTATTTTAGTAGGTTCTTCCTGGCCTCCAACCTAGATCTTTAGGCCACAATTTGTGCCCACTGATGCCATCTACAAGGTTAGTTCAGGCACTCATCCCCTGGGGCCTGCTCTGTCTACAGTGCAGCTTTGGTTGCTATAAAATAGAAAAGAAAGACACATCAGCCTGTCTTTGTCCCCAAGAAATGTCCTTGAGAGTGTTGCTGGATAAAAACAGGATGTCTGGGGCTGGGGATTTAGCTCAGTGGCATAAGCACCTGCCTAACAGGTACAAGGTTGTAAGTTCGATCCCCAGTACCAAAAACAAACAAACACAACAATAGCAAACCAAACAGGATGGCCAGTTAAATTTCAATTTAAGTACTCAATAAGTAATTTTGGGGGGTGTAAATATAGTCCATGGAGTATTTGTGATATACTGAAAATTATTTAATGTCTATTTGAATTAAAATTTAACCATCTGTCTGAATTTTCTTTTGCTAATTCTGGCAACTCAATGACCCTTCCTTCTTCATGAAGATGTCAAATTTGGGATCACTTCCTGTCACTTTGGAGAGTCCCTCTGAGACTTTCAGTACCTAGGATGGCATTCCACTTTGTCCTTTCCTTGGTCCTGAGACTGGAGAAAGCCCTTTCATCCTTCTGTGCCTCACTTTCCTCCTCTGTTCTGACTCATCTCTCAGTGGTCTTTGCTGGTTCCTTTTCTTTGACTTCCGAGTTGGTAGAGG